TTCCACTGCCGTTTGGAAACCAACCATAAGGAAGTACCAACTCGTAGCAAAGCACTTAGTAATTAAGAGAAAATAACAATTTTATTTTATAAGAGCTGTCGGCGTGCCTTCTATCTATAGTGTATATGTCGCTAAAATTATAAAGAACGCGATCTAGATTACTTGTTTTTATCTAATGGCATATATGGTCAAGCCGTAAAGAAAATACTTTCTAAGACAAAGTAAAACACCCACGATTGATTCGGATGTATCGTAAGAGAAAATCTTGAAATATTTGCTCGATTTCTTTTTTAGCGCTAACCTTTCAAACGATTTAGTTAATGATTGCTTGAGTGTATATTTTGTCTTTGATCAATGGATATATTTTCAATAACGAGCTGTAGTTTATTCTTCACACTTTCACAATACATGGAATGGCAAGTAAAGAGTTGGTTTTATTGCACTGTTCGACAATGTTAAGTATTTTGCTTCTAAATGTTAATGTTTCTCATTAAGTCTTCCGCCAATTAATTTTTTTGGCAGAACTGCGATTGTTGAGAAAAATTTCAACAGGTTAACAAGCTGAGCGAGGTCGTGGTACTGATCCACAAAAGAAAATTACTTCAAGTAAAAAATACTTTTGAATCTTCAAAAAAAAATGCGAAGGCAAATATGACAAATTTAAAATAAAAAATGTCCACCAAAACACAAAATGCCAGAAATAAGAGGCAAACCGGGTGCTTTGATATAAGATTACTAGGTTGATCATATTCATTAACCTTACACCCGCCTCGAGACTTGAATCATCTTCATATTTTTACATTTCTTTTCAACTTTTTAACAATGACGAATAAATCACTTTAATTTTGAAGCTGAAACGCAAATAGCTATAATTTTTTTAAATATTCTAATTGAAGGCTTAAAATCTTTTAGAAATAAACGATCTAAAAAATGCTGTGGAGGATTTTTCTTCCATATTCTCCATGTGAGCCCGAATAACCTCTGAAAAAGAATGACGCCAATTTTGAATCACCCTCTGAATAGGAAACAATCGGAAACAAAAAAAAATTGTGAACACTATATTTACGTCTGAGGCCTCGATTTGAAAGAACTAAAACGCCGAATTTATTTCTCCTCTTCCACCTTCTGCTTTCTTGTTCTACTACTTGTTTAGCAGAATCTTCTATCAACAAAACTGGTCTTTTAAAACTAGCTTAGCTGTGAAAAGAACCGGAAAACTAATTCAAATAAAAGCTGAAAAAAAGTGCAAGAAAACCATTGACGATTTGAGTTCAGTACAAGTATATGTTCAAAGGCAACAAAACTTAAGTCATAAAATCGAGAAATTCTTTTTTTTACGCTAAAAATCGTTGCTTAAATGGAAATAGTCGCATAACACTTCAGTGATGTTAAATTTATTGTCGATGTGCAACTTTCCCCTGAAGTTTTTTTTTGCCTGCAAATCATTCGGTGAATTTCATTCATGAAAATGATATGTTCAACAGTCGTGCTTATTGACAATTTCTGTCGGCTTTTACCCATCCACAAAATTTTGATCCATATACGAAGCTCACAACTATGTAGGCCAGTAACAAAGACAAGGAAGTGCCAGCATGAAACATTGCAGTCATATTTGTCCAATTATCCAGCAAAATATTGACACCTAATTATTCTCGAAGACACGTCTATCTTTAAACAGACAAGTGGAAAAATGTGTTTAATTATGAGGAAGTTTCTACAATCGGCAAATGCAAATGCATCATTGAAATGAGAATTGCGATGTGATAAATTGTTTAATTCAAAGAGCGGAATGCAGTCTTACTATAGCATTCATGAAATTTTGTTTCGGATGGAACAATGGCTGCATAATTTATAATTGTTATAATTGTTGCTGAGTTATAGGGTCGCGTCACAGTGTTTTATTTATTGATTTTAATGAGACAGGTATTTTTATAGTAGAGATTACGCACATGCAAAGAGGGCAACAAAATTGAAACTATACAAAGAAGCGAGCTTGAAAGAGTCAATTTCACTGGTACAAAGATTTGATTTTAATTATTTTTAATGTAAAGTGGAGAAGGTTTAAAATCCATTGCCGCTCTGATCTACTTCTGACATACAGGGTCAAATTCTTAACGCAGATCGCACAATAATTTCTTAATCAAGTAATTATATCCGCATCATTAATAATAACGGCTAATTAAAAGTAAAAGGTCACTTTGATGGAAGTGATTGGATAGATACACGCGTATAAATATTAGAGCCATAAATTTTGTGACATTTTATTGAAAGCCGGCAGATTCCTTCTGTCGTAAAGTGGAACAAATTAGTTTCACTTTTCGGTCAATTATGGTAATTTGTCCGTAGGTAGTGGAGTATTAAAATTTATGGATTCAAATTCCTGCCATGCTCGTTATAACCCATATATTTGAAATTCCTCTCTAGATGATCTCCAAATCGATTGCATGAGACGCGAAAAATGTTTTAGTTTTTTCAATAATTAATTATTATAACACTGGGTGACAATTTCATGCGGGTTTTAACAGCGAAACCTTCTAACGAAATTATCTTATATGGCTCGGTAACTGGTAACGCAAACCTGATAAGACGGGAAAAGTGTCAACAGCAATATTTCTACGAGTTCGTTCAGATTAACATACATAATTGTAAGTAACAAATGTTGTTCCGATCTGCTCTTCCATTAATTAACATAGAGAAGTCATAATGTTCATTTGCGACGACTGTTATCGCTAATCAACACGAAATGCCTGTGACCTTTTTTCGGAGTCAGAACTCACCTCACAGCAGTGGCGTTTCACGCTTTCAGCTTTTAAAACTCCACAAGTTTTTACCTGCTAAATAGTGAACAACAGTCGTAATTTTGCACTAAAGATTCTATTCTAGTTGAACATTTTTAGTAGAATATTTCAATCATATTTCGCAAGGGGGCGGCCATGACCCCATGACATGGTTGGCCATGACATGACTTTGGTATCGTTGGGTAGAGAATTGAAAATTCGATTCAGTCATAACAACATGAGTTAGGAAGTTCGAGTAGTTTTGACCCAGAAAGCGAAATTTGAATATCAGACATTTAGGTGCAAGATTAGGCCAAAATTTCATGTTTTCTCTCCCGTTTTTGCTCATTTCTCGGAAGCGAAATGAGGAAGAACG